CCCCCCCCCCCCCCCCCCCCGCTCCTTGGGAGAAGCGGAGGACCTAAGGTGAGGACTTGAGGGGAGGGCGTGGCGGGCTAAGGGTCCCCTGCAAGGTTGCAGATCCGGCGGACACCCAGTGGCTTCGGAACAGGACTGGGGACACGGAGGAAGCCGGCTAGGAGTGGTAAGATTGCCCCGCGGTTCTGACTCCCACCGCCGGACCGACGGCTGCGCCATGTCCAGAGGCCCAGGCTCTACCATCCTACCGCCAGCCTTGGGGTTCCGGAAGTCTGCTCCCCGGAGCCTCAGCTGCCTATCGGACCTGGACAGGGGCGCAGCCCCGGAGCCAAGGCCCTGTAGGCCCCCGGAGAGCCCGGGCCGCGCGCCGCTGGCCCCCGCCCCCATGGGCTGCGACCCCCAGCTGCGGCCCATCATCCTGAGGCGAGCGCGCTCACTGCCCAGCTCCCCAGAGCGCCGCCCGAAGGCCTCGGGTGCGCAGGGCGCTGCGTGTCGGCCAGGCTGCAGCCGGCAGCTCCGCGTGCGCTTCGCAGATGCTCTGGGCCTGGAGCTGGCCCAGGTCAAGGTGTTTAATGCGGGAGATGACCCGTCAGTGCCGCTGCACGTGCTGTCACGGCTAGCCATCAACTCGGACCTGTGCTGCAGCAGCCAGGACCTGGAGTTCACTCTGCGGTGCCTGGTGCCAGATTTCCCACCGCCTGTCGAGGCCGCTGACTTCGGCGAGCGTCTGCAGCGCCAGCTCGTGTGCCTGGAGCGGGTCACCTGCTCGGATCTGGGCATCAGTGGTACGGTGCGCGTGCGCAACGTGGCCTTCGAGAAGCAAGTGGCCGTGCGCTACACCTTCTCCAGCTGGCGCAGTGCGCACGAAGCGGTGGCGCGGTGGCGCGGGCCGGCAGGCTCTGAAGGCACGGAGGACGTCTTTGCCTTCGGTTTCCCGGTGCCACCCTTCCTGCTAGAGCTTGGATCGCGTGTGCACTTCGCCCTTCGCTACCGAGTGGCCGGTGCTGAGTACTGGGACAACAACGACAGCCGTGACTACAGCCTCACATGTCGCAACCACGCTCTGCACATGCCACGTGGGGAGTGTGAAGAGAGCTGGATCCACTTCATCTGAGCAGCGGTCAGGGTACCTGGAGCTCTGAGATGCTGGTCTGCAGGTCTTTCCTGACTGGGTGGCCACTTCTTGGTGGGTTCACCTACCCTTCCGCACCCCCAAGTTCTGAATTCATTTCCTTTTCAAGGTCTCTTGACAGTGGCCCTTCCTGCCTTCTACATGAAATTTCCTTGTCTAATGAGTAGCCTCACGTAGCCAGCAGGCCAACTCGGTTGTGGAGTGTGTTGGGGGAGGGTCCTGGGAGGGTAGGTGCATGGGAGTGTGTGCCTCTCTGGAGAGGACCCAGGCAAGGTTTTGGGGAAAGACCCACCTGCTGCTAGGAAGGCCTTTTGCATGTGTCTGGAATGTGTCCCTGAACTAGCTGATATTTGTTATTGTGATGTTGGGACCTTAGGCCCATAGCTGATACCTTCTCAGGAATATTCTGAATTTAATAAGCTTAAAGTCCTGTTGTGTGTTTGTGCCCATTGTAAACAAAATGTGCAGTGTGACCTGCATTATGGTCCCTGGAGGCATTCCTGCCCTGGGACAAGGAAAATCTGAGACCTCATTTGCTTGCCAATGCCTGTAGCCTTCTAGCAGTGGCAACTATTAATAGGCAGAGACCTCTGCCTTACCAGCCATCACTGGGCTTCGTGGCAGTGTCTCTCCCGAACCAACAGCTGAGGAGAAAGTGGAGGCTGCCACCGGCAACAGCCTTTCCTCTGCCCGCCCTCCTCTCCCATCCTGCTCTTTTCTTGTTCTTGTTTGGTAATTGTGTGTCTGCACATTATCTCTTGGGCCCTCCTGTTTGGGTTTGAAACTACCTAAACATTTTAAGAAATCTTGCCTTAAGTTATTTCAATTTTCAGGTGACTGTAGAATTTCAAGCAACATGCCCTTTGTAATTACTTTTTTGACAATGAAGGTGACTATAATTTCCTTTTAAGCATCAGAAAATTCCAGGATTTGTCTTTTCCAAGTCCAGTTACCAAGTGGAACTAGAAGGTGTTTTCAGCATTAGCTAGAGCCCTTGAGGAAAAATAATTCACAAATTTTATACTTCTGAGTTATTTTAAATTGTACTTATGTGAGATTTTTATCAGCTACCTGCAACTTTATTCTTTGTGCCTTCAGATAGGAGAAATTTTTAACATTTTCTGGACTTGTTTCCCAGTTTTTAAATGTTAAATGCTTTAAAAAAAAAAAAAACAAACAAAAAACACCTCCAACTAAGTAGTCAAGCCCACTGCTCCAGAGTTATCTGCTACTCCCGTGGAGAGGCTGAGGAGTTCTTTTGGTGCTGAGTGGTGGTCTTTCAGACAGCAGGTGCTAGAATTGATGCATGAAACCCCAGCTGAGATGGACAGAACCTCCAATATGGGACCCACGTGATACAGCTGAAGCCAGTGTGGTTGATTTTGTGATGGCTGTCACCAGGAGTAATGCTTAAATTTTTGAATACCTGTTGACACTTGTCTAATCAGTATTGAAAAGATGCATTTTACCTTTTAACTAGTTTGTTTTTGATAATTGCAACCTTTGTGTTTTTAAAGTGCCAAGAACAATGACCTTCTTTGGTAACTTTTGATCTAAGAACACCAAATCTTGATTTAAAATCTTGTGATTAAATTGCACACTCTTTGCCTGTTAGGGCTGTGAACTACATTGGCATGCAAGACAGGGAAGCCCTGGTGCATCTCCTGCTGCTTAACAAACCATCCAATTAGGTCAGCAAGTGTGGGAGGGCCTTGGCTGCTCTGCCTATGGGCCCCAGCCCAGAATGCAAGACAATTGTCCCTACTATTCAGGTACAAGTGAGAGCTGCCAAATGGGTTGTCTAAAGGCATGTAAAGTATCTTTCATCTATGTGAAAGTCACTTGACAGAAGGATTCTGGTCATAAAATAGTTATATCATCAAAATTAAGAGAACCTTAAGGTGCCTTTTAAAAAAGTAACATTTTGAAACTTTAAAGCTTCAATAGACAGCTCAAGAGTTTTCAGACCTTAGTCAAAGCTATATTGCTTAGATGTTAAAAGCTTGTAGTGGATCGTGCAATTGCTGGGTTGTCTCCCCAAACGTATTATAATGTAATGCAATGAAAATGATTTTACTGAAGTATTAAAGTATTATGTGCAAAAATGTCTGTGTGCTCTATTTAAGTGGAATTTTTTGTGGTCTAATCACAGAAAACAAAGGTTTAGAAACTTCATTGTTTAAATCATTTCATGCATAAGTTTTATCCTTTTCACAGCACTGATAAATGTAGGGTCTTAGTTTAAAAAAAATATATATGTTGCACCTCACCTTCAGCAACAGAGTTGTATATGCTTTTGAAAAACTGAAAGTTTATGCCAGGTTAACATTACATATGAAGAAAGCTCTAAGGAACCTGGGGAGTGCTAATTATTCTACTTACAGCACTTATCCCTGTGCATGGAATTGTACCTGTCTGCCCTTCCACCAGTGTGTGATCCTGTTAAATACAAAGCCTTGCCCTTGTTGGAAATGAAACATTTATTTTGTCCTTTTTTTAACTGTTTAGGCAAAATAATGGGTGCTTTATTTGATTTCAGTTAATTCTGCAAAATATGCTACCTGGTTGATAATATATATGTCCATTCTGTTAGCTGAGGTGACCAAAGTTCAAAGAGGTTTAAGTAATTCACCTAACATCCCACAGCTGGTAAGTAGTCAATTCAGCCTTCAAACTTACAACAAGCTCCTTGTTCTTTTGGCCATTGTGATATGGCATCCAGAATGTTTCCAATAAGTGCTTGTTAAATTTAATTAAAAGGGGCTGTGGAGGTAGCTCAGCAGTTGGTTATTTACCTAGCATACACAGGCCCTGGGTTCAACCTTCTGCAGTGCAGGGAAAAAATGCTGTTATAATTTGGATATGAGGTGCCACCTGAAAGCTGTGTTAATGCAGGAAGTGGAACAACTAGATTATGAGAAATGTAATCTCATCAGTTGATTGATCCATTTGCTGGATTAATAACTCAAAAGAACTAGTAACTAGGCAGGTGGGGCATGCCTGGAAGAGGTGGTTCACTGGAGGGGGCCCTTGGGATTATGTCTCCTCCCCCTGGTTCCTCCCACTCCGCTCCTGGCCGCCACAGGAGCAGCTTTCCTTTGTCCTGCCTTTCTGCCCTGGTGTTCTGCCTCCACTCAGGCCCAAAGTGATGGAGTCTGCCCACCATGAAGTGAACCTTGGAAAAGGTGAGTAAAAATAAACTTTTCTAAATTGAACTTAGGTATTTTGATCACAGCAAGGAAAAGCTAACACGGAAGCCAAATTTTGATAAGGTTTTCCTTCAAACACCATAATCTAAAACATTTTAAAAAAATACAAATAAGATTTTTCTTCCACATTGTACTTTATTGATATTTACTAAAAAGGGAAGATGAAAATCACTACTCTTCATTTTTAGTGTATTAGTAAAATTCCTGTGCATTCACTACTCCATCATGAAGGATGTTAAATCTATTAGGGGAAAATTAGATGTGAAGATTATTATGAAATTCTGTCAGGTCAGGAGGTTGAGGCACACCGAGTTTACATTATGCATAATATGTATATGTTATTAACACTAAATTGTGTAAAGAATTCAAAAACATGAGAACTTTGATTTTATAAAACACCTCCAAATCCCTCTAGATTACCTATGTATTTTGTACACTGAATTTACAGGTTAAGATCTCAAAATTAAGTTCAACGTAGCATTTACAAAATTGTCAGGCAGTTTGTAATTCTACCTAAAAAATATTTAAAATGCTTGGTGGGCATGGTGGTTCATTCCTGTAATCCCAGCCACTTGGGAGACTTGAGGCAGGAGGATCACAACCTCGAGGCCCTAAGCAGTTTGCACCCTTCTTCAAAATTCAAGAACAAAAACTAAAAGGGCCTGTGGATGTAGCTTAGTGCTAAAGTATGCCCCTGGGTTTAATCCCCAGTATCAACAAAAAAGGCTACAAAATATTTAAAATGTTTTATAATTTATATTATCCTATGTGATTTGATCTGCTTTGGTCCTCAGTTTTTATTCCCTTGCGTTTACTTTTTCAAGTGCTTTCCACTGTATGTTTAAATCTTAATTTTATACATAGGGGGACGGTGTGTGTGTGTGTTTGTGTTTACGTATATAAATGTTATCTGTGTGTGTTGGAGGGGTGCTGGTTATCCAACACAGGACATCCTGCAGGCTGAGCGTGTGCACTCTTGAGCTGCACTCCAGCCGCCTAATACAATATGTTAAAACAAGTGTTGCCTTCTAGATAGATTGCTACTGAAATACCTTGTTAAGTTCTGCCCTGGCGCACGTGCCACTCGGCCACGGCATTCCCACGCGGACTGTTACCCAGCACAGACAGCTGCCTACAGGCTGGGGCTGCAGCACTTGCTGGTAGGAGGGAAGCAGGGAGCGTGCACGCAGGTCCCGGGGCAGGATGAGTTGGAGGCGGGGAATCCGTACCCAGTGCCTGGCCACCGGCCTCGCAGCAGCCAGCCTGGCTGGGCGCGGGCTGTGTGTTCCCAGGCAAAGCTGGGGCGGCCCAGAGCCCAGCAGACGCCAGCGGCGCCCGGGGCGGGGCTGACGCGAGCGCTTAGCGCCCTCAGGCGGCCCAGTCCCACGCCAGGCAGGGCTTGGGCGGCCGGTCAGCTGCGCTGCGCCCCCTGCTGGTCCCTCCGGCCGACGCACACCATTGGCGGAGCAGAGGAAGCCTCCCCGGCCTCTAGCCTCAGGGCCGGCCTGGGAGACCCCAGAGGCTAGAGTGGAGGGGTGGGGCTCGGCCGGCCTGCACGGATTGGCTGAGCTGCTGACCGCCGGTGCCAATTGGAGGGGCTCCTCCCGCCTTTCGTCAACCGCCTGACGTGCCCGGCGGTTTTTGAGGGGTGAAGACTCGACGCCCGGCGGTGGCGGTAGCGGCGGCGGTAGCGACGGCTCCAGGACAGGACGCAGAGTCCTGCTCGGCCAGCAGAGTGAGCAGGTGCCGGGGTGGGCCTCCTTGACGGCAGGGCGGGGGCGGAGAGTCCTGCTTCGGGCCGGCGGTCCCCACGGTTGAGGCCAGCGGTCCCCACGGTTGAGGCCAGCGGTCCCCACGGTTGAGGCCAGCTGCTGTGGTAACGGCTGCGGGCGCGTGCGTGCAGTGGGCGCCTAGGCCGGGCAGAGGGCCGCAGCACGGCCGGTGTCGGAATCCACCTCCAGGCCACGTGTGTGCCCTGCAGTAGCCGGGGTGGACACTGTCGTCGTGGTGGGGAAGGTGTGCCTCATCGCCGCCCTCTCGCGGTGGCCCCCGCTCCTGGGTCCCAAGCGCCTTGTTGCGCTGCGCATGCGCGCCGCCTTGGCCTCGCGGCCCGCTGGCACAGCCCCTGTGCGCATGACCCTGTTCTTGAAACAAGCTGTGCTTGATTTCCCAGGTTGTTCTGTGCCCCCAGTCCTTCCTGTTGTTTATTGGAGTGGTAGAATATATATGCTCTGATTCTGTTTGCTTCTAGAGTTAGATTTCCCTTTTATTTGCAGATGTTCCACTTCTTTGATAGAGTACCTGGTAAAGCTACCGGCAGGACTGCAGTCTTTACTCATTGATCCTTGGGGGGGAATGTGAAACTGGGTTATTAGTTTCTTTTTCTTAAAAAAATTATCTACCAATATAAAAATTATTTTTCCTTTTTCTTTCATTGATCTCCTTCTGAAAAAATTGCTAGAAATTAAAACCACCTTATTAATGTGCCTCTTGGCCATAATTCTTCAGTGCTGTTAGAAAGATGTATGTAAATATAAACATCCCATGCATTTCACTGTATCATAATCGAGACCTTTTCTACTTATTTTATGTTCTGTTGACAGTAATGATCTAAGGATTAAAACAAAATGCAAATATATTCAGAACGTAAACAAATTTGAGTTATTCTAAAGATTGACCACCGAATTTTAGATTTTTTAATAACTGAATCTTACTATTTTTTTTGTAACGATAAACTTACCATTCTAATTGTTGTTGGCCGGCTAACTGCTGTCAACAAAAATGCACTAGGAAATAATTTAAAATTAAAAGGGAGGCTTAAAAAAAGAGTTTGCAAACCAGGAAGAGGCAACTTTGGGTACAAAAGGAATATGCCCCCAAAGGAATAGGCTGGCTTATATAGAGGAACCACAAATGAGGGGGGTGCAAGCATGGTTAGCATTCCTAGCATTTCTATTCCTGATTGGTTGATGTTTATATATGACTGTAGGTCATAGTTCATTGGTCAGGTCTTTGGAGATTGGGGAGGCTTTAATCTGGGCAGTTGGAACAGGAACAGACCCTGGACTTCAAAGTTTAGCTTGTGATACTTACAGAAACACACAGTAGAATCAGTGAATGGCTGTCAGGTTTTATACTGAATTTTAGGTCCAGTTAGCAACTTGGGACCTTTGGAGATTCAACTTTTCCTAAAGTTCACACTGCCATTGTAAAGAGTCCATATTATGTTCATGAAGTTCTTCTAGGTCTGCAAATCTGCAAATCGGGCATTAAATATGAATTGCATAGTGCTACAAAATGTTTTGGTTACCATGTGCAACTGTTACAAACTATTGTTCACTAATTTGCTGATATTTCCAGAGCCACAATTAGAATACAAGAAAATGGCCATTTGGCACCACTAGGAAATAATTCATTATGCAAGAATCTATTAGTCTTACTCTGCCAGAGGAAGGATTTGATAATTAATGTCTTTTTTTTTCTTACCTAAGCACTTGAATTGCACAAATGCTACCTTTGTTCTGAAGCAGAGACTAAAATGTCATAGCTATCCCAACCTGCAACCTTCCTTATGTTCAGCTGTAGGTTTCCATTCCCTCTTGCACTTCTTGAATTGTTTTTATTATAGAAGATTTATAATACTTAAAGAAAGCAGTGCATTTAATTGCACTTTTCTTTCAAAGGCATAGGCAAGAGAAGTGTTTCTCTGGGTCTGAAAGGTGTGATTTATGAGTGAATGTGGTTATAGAATTTGCTCAGTTGGTACTCAGTAGTGGATCTAAGTGAATAGAGATGTTTGTGTGCTCTTTAATGGGAGAGAACAGGGAAAGAGGAGAGGGAGGCTGGGTCCCTTTTTGCCTGTCCCAAGGATTGTGGTGATTGAAAGCATATACTATATGG